GATTGTGGATACACATCCAGTTTTTGACCTGGAGGAAATCACAGAGGTGGAGATAAAAAATATAATCTTAGGGTTAAAAGGTTATAAGGCTAGGGATGCAGAGGATTTAGACACCAACTTTATAAAGACAAATATTGACAGTCTAATAAAACCAATTACTATGCTAGTAAATCAATCTATCAGCACAAGGGAAGTTCCATTATCCTGGAAGGTGGCCACGGTGACACCAATCTTTACATCTGGGGATAAGGCAATAATGTCCAATTACAGACCAATCAGCATCCTCCCCTGTGTCTCTAAGATAGCTGAGAAATGGGTGTCAAAACTAATCACCAAACATTTAGATAAAGGTTTCGCTCCACTCCACCCAATGCAGTTTGGTTTTCGTGCTCACCACTCCACTGAGACAGCTAACTGTGTCTATATGGAACAGGTTAAATCTATGTTGGACACAAGCCCATATGTAGGTGCTGTCTTCCTTGATCTCAGGAAGGCTTTTGACACTGTTGACCACCAAGTGCTCCTTACAAAGCTGACGTATTTCAATTTTTCGGCAGATTCAATACAGTGGGTTAAATCTTACTTATCAAACAGAAAACAGTGTGTTTTAGTCAACGGTACCAAATCCCCCTACCTTGTCAACCCTGTTGGGGTTCCACAAGGTTCCATTCTTGGACCATTGCTGTTTTCTCTGTACATTAATGACTTGCCTAATGTATGTCCTGATTTGAATGTGCAAATGTATGCCGATGATGCGGTCATCTTTGTACACGGGACAAATACTGAAATAATCTCATCCTGTCTCTCAAATGCATTGGACACGGTTCAACACTGGCTGAACAACATTTGCTTACAGTTAAATGCAAAAAAAAACAGTATGCGTGATGTTCAGCAAACGACCAGTCAAAATCGAAGGATCCAATGTGTTTTTAAACGGAGCAGAATTAGAACTAGTCCCCCACTTCAAGTACCTAGGTGTCATACTGGACTCAAACTTGATTTTTAAGAAACATATCAAGAAAGTATCCAATACCGTTAAATTCAACGTGCAACATTTTAAACAAATTAGACCTTTCTTAACTGTCAATGCTGCAAAGTCATACCTCCACTGTATGATTCTAAAAAATTAAAAAATAAGAAATGAATATTTCTATTTTTGCTCCAAATCTAAAACAATCTTTCCAAACTAATTTAAATACATCATTGTACTTTAACAATAAGTCTTGAGTGACTATTATTTACTGTCAGCTATTTCCATAATAGTCGGTAATAACCTTGCCTCTGTGAGAGATGGATTGGGATTTTATTTTTACATGAGCAACAGCCACATTACCATCCTCTGCATCATGTATCAGATGTCGGCCGCTGAAAGATCCAGCATCTTTAAGAAATCCTCTTAAAGGCAGATGCCGACATCGGAGAAGTCGAGGATAGGCCCTTCAGAGAGGAAGAAGGGGCTCATGTATCTCTCAGGGTGGACAGAGGGCTTTTATAAAGGTGAAGATGAGACCCTCCAAAAAGGTCCGCACGGGATAATTTAAAGTGCAGGATGATGGATGAACAGTGAAAGAGAGTTCAATGGGATACATAACAGAATATAATTTAATTATGATCACAAACAGCAAGCCCAAATTATTAATGTTTTAAAAACATCACAAAGAGTTTAACAATAATTTCTTTTTTTCAGGGTTTTAGTTTCGAGTTGGCTTTTGGGTAGTGTTTCGGAGCTTGACCTTAGTGATGAAGTGGAAATAGAGTATACTCTGCATCTGCTTTTCTATTGGTCGGATACAGTGACAGAAATACCTGGAAAAATAAGCTCTAAAGCAACAAAAACCAAAAGACAAGCAAAGGGACACTAATTTATGAGAAGTGCTATTTAATTTGGCAATCAAATTCATGGTCTTTATTATCTTTAGGGAGGCCTGACTTTTCATCTAGCCCCATTATTACGCAACCATTTTCAATGTGTCTTTCTATTTTGATATAGTTATGTGTACCAGTCAGACTCCCAATTGGTGGAATACTGTTGCATGGGTCTAGTGAGAGACCATAACGTTGTGTATCGAATACAAATCACAGGGTGAATTACCAACACTTTTTTCACTTGCTTTTATGGCAAGATAGGGTCTTTGACCTTGGTGGAATTCGTTAGTGTAACACATTCAGGCTTCTTACTGTAAAGTAATCTCTCATTAAACGTTTTTGTCATACTGTAGTTGTGCAGCTGATGATGATTCTAAACATTTGATCATACTGGATAGGCCTATTACCAACTACCTACAAATGTGTCTTTCTTTAACTTTACCATATCTAGCCACACATTCAGACTGAAGACCAGTGCATTGTTAACGTTACCAGCTGTTTATAATTCATGCAGGCGGTGAGTTGTAACGTTTGAGGCTTACAGAAGATGAGTCTTTCGGTCTGTGTTACAGATTGATGCAGGCCTTGTTACAGAATACACACGCCACAGCTTTTTGTTGTCAGTCTGGACCATTTTGATTGCATTATGTATGGCAAGACATCTGATAAGCCCGAGACCTCAGCCACTGAAAATTGGCCTCAAATGGCTCTGGACATTCTAATAAGGAACCTGTGATCTGATACGGCCGCAGCACGGTGATGTCTGCAGACTTCCTCATGCTGGCTGTGTTTCTATTTCTCATGCTCCTGTTCATGCTGTTTGCCTTTTCTTTTAAACATCAGCTGACATGTTCTCCCTGACCTCCTGCCTGATATAGAAACTTACAAACAAGGCACACAAACAAACAGAAATAACTCAGAAACCAGCATGCAATTTTAGATCTCGAGATGTTCAGAATTTGAATGTAGGGCCTTTTTCTTATCAATAGTCTTTCATCAGGGTGTTTGGAGAGAATTTTAACATTAAAATACTGTATCTTTAAGACCTCTTGGATTACTATGACAGTAATGTTATCACTTACTCTACTTAAGGGGATGTTCAGCCACATTAGTACCTTCTTTTGTGTGCTGCATCTCCCTATATGAAATGTAAGCAATGTTATCTCTGGCTTCACATTTGCATATTTTAAGCTGCATCAGTGATTTTCCCAGTCTGAGAAGTCATTATCTGAAATGTCATGTTAACATTATGGTAATGTACAGTAGCTCATTAGAGGACAGACTGTACAAAAAAGTACGTGCTCAGGATTTTCTAAGAGGGATTTCAGCGAGGAGTGGAATTACAAAATAGGGTTCATATCTGGTTCACTTTTGAGGACTCTCTACAGCAGTGTCTACAGCATGATAATATTTTCTGATCTGAAAAAAAAACCCTGAACTGGTGTTTGAACATTCTTTCAAGCCAGCTATTTTAGACATCTACTGATTTGCATACAACATAAAAGTACTATGTCATTTATTACAAAAAATGTATACAATTCAAAGACTCTCGGGTCATTTAAATTGATTTTTAGGTTATAGGTTTCTATTTGCGGCACTGACCGTATTTTGCATAAGATTTAAGGTATTTTTATTACATATACAAACATGTATGCATATTTAAATGCTGTTTACAAAAAATACTAGATAACACATACCAAAATAGCAAGTACTGAAGATATACAAAGAATTAAAAACAACTGCAAGATATAATAAAGGGGAAAGAGATGTGTCATCACAGTATACAATTCAGTATTGTCCATAACATTTAATTTAGCTGCATGTTCTTAGCTACATCGCCCTTCATAGTTTATTGTGCGTTGTTCAAGGCCTTCATAGCCTGTGTGAAACTCCTCCTCAGCTTGTCAGGCCTTGATTTGTGGCTCTGAAGTCGCTTGGCTGATCGCAGCCACATAAAAAATCCATTGTTATCTTCTTAGCTCTTCACCTCTTGTTTTATAGACTCTGTAGTAAAACAAAAGTATAATAAGAAACATTGCTCTTCAGTATCTGATACATTTTTTTAAGAAAGTAGTGTAAACCTTCTAATAACAATTCATTGTTTGAATCATTTCAAACATTTGATTGTCTCAGGTTCTCAAATGTGTCTTGCATTATAGCAAATTGAATGTCTGGGAGTTTTGAATGGTTGGTTGCACAAAAAAGACATAATGGGTTTTATTCTCTCATTGTCTTCAACAAAGAATGAAAAGAGCAAAGTCACCGTGAAATGATCCCTGCTTATGATATGCTTTTATTATTTCCCCCCTGCTCAAGATTGACTTTTCTTTTGGTCTTGAGCCTAATACTAAGCATGCCCCCGCCCCCGTGTAGCCTTCACACACGACTTCTCCTCTGATTTCAGCAGCTGCCTCCCCCGAATTTATTGTCTTAACCTTTCTGTGAGTACGTACCCACGTCAGTCGAACTGGCTGCCACCCAGAAACTGTTGAGGTCGAACTGGCAGATGCCTCAGGAGTTCCAGCTGTGATCGATATGTTAGTGTCTTTGCACAACAGGAGCTTTATATCATCTCTGAAAACCAATTCACCTCTTCAGCAGAGCTGTGACCAGAACCCTCGTCTCTTGCTGTTCATGTAGCACATGATGATGATGTTTTATAACACTGGCTCATAAAGACTTTAAGTTGAAGGTATTGGGGGACATGGGGTTGCTTCTGTTGGTTCAACAGTCAAAGCTATATATTGCTTTACGGCCATTGAAGCATTACATTTAATTTGTTGGTGGATAAATGCTGCCACCTAAAGGTCAGAGGGCTACCTGTGTATGTGGCCGAGGGCATTTACAGATGTTATAAATTGATTAACTTGGTGTAAACCTTTTTGTTACCGGTGTGTAGGTTGCCTCACACTTCAATACTTCCATTGAAGCATGACATTGAAATTGATGATGGAAGCATATGGAACCACGATTAACTGAATCTATACCTGTGGCCATGGAGACGCTGTGAAAACATGCACGTCACTTCCAAAACAGTATGTCAGTATAAAGGTACCTGTACATACCCTCAAGTGTTTGTAAACAGTGATATATCTCAATTTCTTAATACATTAAAAAGCACACAAGGCCCACAATTAGAAACGTTCACAGATTTGTATTTACTTAGACTTCGTTAAAAACAAAAAATATACTGCAAAGATTTCCGCTCTTGTTATTATGTAAGACTATGCTGTTAGACAGTCCTCCATCGCTTGCAGCTCCTGTAGTTCTTCACATTGAGGGCCACAGTGAAGGCAGAGCAGTTTTCTGACCATGGGGATGACAGAGAGGGCGGGGCCTCTGGCACCACTGGGAGAAGGACAGGAGAGCAAGACAGAACTATTATTTTCTACCAATGATGTTTGTCAAAATAAAAACACAGCAGAACAGTTGCACATTGTTTAGACATTGAAACAAACGACACACCTTGAAAATGTTTACTTTATGTCTGCACAACTCACTCACCCATTGAAGTGAAGCTGGGCTAATTTGAAGAGTTGTTGACCCAGTTCAATGCTCTCCTTTCCGTACTGGTTCCCAATAGCTACGGCACTTCTCTCAAGGTGTGAGGCAGCATTACTCCAATCGCCTACAGGAAAAATAAACCACCCAGTAAGAGGGTTGCAAAAGTTAAAACATATTCACATTTGACACCTCAGGGTGTAATTCCGTTATTGTTTTTCGGCTTTTCCTTCATATTTAATATAAGCATTACACTGTTAAGAAATTCAGCTGATTCAAACATCAACATATCAGTGTGCTTGTCCAGTGGCTGCCAGTACTACATTTCTAGTAAAGTATGCCAGGAAACCAAATACAATTTCCTTTTCAGAGTGGTTATCTTTGACTCAAAAATTGAGCCTTCCACAGCTAAATAGTTGCTAGGGCCAATCATTTCACATAAACTGCTGGAGGTCAAATTACATTAATGATAATGCTTGATACAGTTTGTATATGTGTGAAACAGCATCTGCCTGAAAAAGCACCAATAATAATGGTACATTATAATTAAAGTAAATGAATTATTCTTTAAATCTTCAGTACGTTTCCCTACTGTTTGGTATTGTTATTGAATTATGACTTGCTGTTGAAAAATGTGATGTTTTATTGATAGATCCAGCCCAGAATTATATAACAAATCCCCAGAGTGCACGTAGAGAGAGAACTTTTCAGGTGGCAAACTTTCAGAAGGTTTAGATGCTCAACCAATCGGTAGAGAGTTCTGTTATTGTAAAAGTTCAACAGCAGGTGCGTATTCACCACAGAGGTCACACACATTATTATTCTCACCCATGGTAGCATACGCTCTGGCCGTAGCATCTTCCAACTCCCCCTGTAACGGATGTGTCTCTGCGAGGCTCAGAGCAGACGGACTCTGGGTCCTCCTCAACAGTCTCAAAGCCTCATCTGACGGAGGGAGGAGCAGAAGAATAACATGAAGGTGTAAAAAAGAACATAGGGAAGAATGGCAGTGATGCATTACTGTATCTACATTTACATTTCGGTTTTTCAGAATCACCTGGCCTCTCTCTTTCCATGAGGTCCACAGCCTTCTTCAGGTCCTGCTTTATTTCCTGCAGCCTCTGGTTCACTTCAGATAACGCCACACAGTGACCGCAGGATGCCTGGGAACATATGAATCCTTTTCCTCTCTCCTCGCTGCTTCTCTGAAAATCATAAAGTGATTCAAATGATTAAGGATGGAACCCTAGAAAGATAGAGAAACTCAGACAATTAATCATGTTTAATTGCATGAAAGAAAATCTACAAAAACCCTTAAGAATACCTACATTGAGAGATCCTTTGCACTTTCCACACAAAAGTCCAGACTGTGGATTGCCTCCAACACTTGAGCACTGCTGTCTGCCCTCTGAACCGTCCTCTTCCTCTGACTGCTGCTGCAGCGTGCAGGCCTCACACTGACACAGGAAGTAGTATTGTTCCCGCAGGAGACGCTGGCGTTCTTGGGTCGCCATCCTCCTGCTGTGGGGACCTGAGGGAGGGAGGATAGGGCTTTATTACAGCACCAGTTATAACACAACAAGAACAGTTAAAGAATAACACTGCCAACTGAAAGCACAGTTATTTCAGCTGTATAATGTCAGTGTTTAATCTACAACAAAACAATCAAAAAGCATTGTTTTATCCACACTATATGTAAGGTAATGCTTTTCTATGCAGATTTGTATGTTATGAAATTGGTCAGCACCCTAACAATTATTTTGGAGCAGAATAAGACATTTTCCTACCATAGCAGTGCAGGATTTCTTGTCCAGGAGAGATATATTTGGCTGCTCTGACAGCGACAGTGACTCCGCTTGCTTTGCTTCTCATCTCAGCTACACTCTCACTGAAGTCTGCAGACAGATGTGTTCCTGTGCTGAACGCCAGACTGGTGTTGGGACAGCAGGAGTGATTCAGAAGACTGAGAGTTGGGAACATCGCCGTCGCAATGCGAATTTCCCTGCTAGACTGCACCGGTGAGTTTTCCGCTCCTGTGAGATGCAAGAACGAGAAAGAAAATGTCAATTTACGATTAGACAACATTCAAAGCTGAAGATAGTATATATTCTTCTATTGTGGATTGTACCATTGAAACAATTAAAGTAAAGCCAAATGAGTCTACCACCAGAAAAGAATAGACAAAAGTTGAGATAATCAGTTCATATGGCCAATTCACTGGTTCTAACTTCACAAAAGTCAATGTTTGTTTTCTTCTATAATAAGAATCTGAATACCTAAAGATGTGAACAAACTGCTTTAATGTGTCTGACTTTAAGTCTTGATTTTTCACTTGGACAAAACTCAATTCACCTGTGTCTTGAAGTGTGATGATTGCCTGAGCGTTACACCTCAGCTGCAGCATGTGCCTGAGAACTACACTTCCCATCAGCCACAGCTCTGAGTTCCAAGCTGCTCCAATACCTCCCTCCTCGTCTGGGGGATGGCTGTTTGCCTGTAAGGGTCTACTAAGGTCCCAAGATGCAGGTGGAGGTCCTGCCTTGCTGAGCTTTAGGTACAGTGTTGCTATGGTAATCGCACTCAGGAAACGCACACAAGGGCTGTGGCGATTCAGGTGGTGTTGTAAGTGAAACACGCTGCGATAAGTGTCACCGTAGTGTGAAGCACAAGGATCGGGAGGCTTTGAATCCCTGGACTCTGGCTCTGTGTGCTCGTTTCTGATTGGCTCCTTGGCCATTTGGATGTTTTTCAACCCCGCCTTTAGTGTGACCCTCAGAGCGAGCTGTGACATCACGCCCATCACCATCAGATCTGCTCCCAATGAACACTCCCACTGGTGATGTTCCTCCCAGGCGTCTCGCTGACAGGAAGTTGAGCAGTATCGGGTGTAGCTGCAGCCCTCACACGGCACAGGACTCAGAGTTTCAGTCAAACACCTGTGACAGCGCCGGTGCTCCACTCCTCCCTCTGCATCCTGCCTTCCTCCTTTACCTTGTACCTCCTCCATCCCTGGTATGAGGACACAGCTGTATGGCCTGTCATGCAGAAGCACCTCCCCAGCTGCTATGCTCTCCGCAGCCACAAGGTGTCGCCCTTTCTCCGGGCTGAAGCCAACAACAGCTTGAGGACAAATCCCAAATGAAAGAGGTCCAACAGATGTCCCTTTTCCTCCGTCTGTAGGATTCTTTGAGGCAGGATTGTCTTTTCCCTTTTGATCTACAGAGAGGTGCCTGAGGCATTGTGCGCGACGGTCCTCTAGTTTGTGTGAAAGATGAGAGGGATAGCCGTGCTTTAGAGCTCTGTCAATGTCTTCAAGGGAATCCTGAGGGATAATAAGAATCATTGAACTGTGAGCAAAATATAAAGATGATGGACATTTTAATAACTAATTTATAAGTAAAAACAAGCCTAGGACTGAGTACAGATCTAAAACTAAACCAGGCCTAAAAATATGAAATATAAAACACACTCAATAAAAGAGATAAACATAAACAAACATAAAGATTGCATAGAATACATATGCCCTGAACACACGGTCTGTATGTAATGGCTTGCCTGTCCTCCAACTATATATTGCATGGGTGGCCTTGTAAGTAATGCACTTTAATCTCAAATCACATACGTATATGCTCTTGCAAAGCATCTGCTATATGAATGGACTTTAGTATGAACAGCATGTTAATCATGTGCAGAAACTGTTTGATTGTGTCACTGTTAGTTTTTTTAATCGCAATTACGATTATGGCTTGCAACGATTACGAAAACAACGCAATTGAAATAAAACGATTTTTTTTTTAAAAATTGGTTTTTCAGTTGAATTATACTTAAAGTTCAGGGTAATCAACTGTTCAAAACATACTGTTCACATTTTTTTTCTCCAATAAATTGATGTCTTCAAAGTAAATGGATAATCATTTTTAATAATCGTGATATCAATTTTTGACCCAAATAATCGAGATTATGATTTTTGCCATAATCGATCAGCCCTAGTCACCGTTTGATCACACAATCTGTTAGATTTCCCCAGGCCCATTTTCACACAGCCACTATATTATGGAATGTCATTTAAGCCATAAATTAATTAATACATAATTAGTGTGAAGCGGCTGGGATGAGGATCAGCACCTCCAAATCTGAGGCCATGGTTCTCAGCAGGAAACCGATGGATTGTCCACTTCAAGTAGGGAATGAGTTCTTACCCCAAGTGAAGGAGTTCAAGTATCTCGGGGTCTTGTTCTCGAGTGAGGGAACAATGGAGCGTGAGATGGGCCGGAGAATCGGAGCAGCGGGAGCGGTACTGCAGTCGCTTTACCGCACCGTTGTGACGAAAAGGGAGCTGAGCCAGAAGGCAAAGCTCTCTGTCTACCGGGCCATTTTCGTTCCTACCCTCACCTATGGTCATGAAGGATGGGTCATGACCGAAAGAACGAGATCGCGGATACAAGCGGCCGAGATGGGTTTTCTCCGCAGGGTGGCTGGTGTCTCCCTTAGGGATAAGGTGAGAAGTTCGGTCATCAGGGAGGGACTCGGAGTTGAGCCGCTCCTCCTTCGCGTCGAAAGGAGCCAGTTGAGGTGGTTCGGGCACCTAGTTAGGATGCCACCTGGGCGCCTCCCTAGGGAGGTGTTCCAGGCACGTCCAGCTGGGAAGAGACCAAGGGGTAGACCTAGGACCAGGTGGAGGGATTATATCTCTTCGCTGGCCTGGGAGCGCCTTGGGATCCCCCAGTCAGAGCTGGTTGATGTCGCCAGGGAAAAGAAAGTTTGGGGCTCTCTGCTGGAACTGCTACCCCTGCGACCCGACCACGGATAAGCGGGAGAAGATGGATGGATGGATGGATAAATAAATATATATATAAATATGCCTATGAAATAAATTCTGAAATAAATAACCGAGGCAATACATATGTATACATGTACATTTAAATACACATTTATTTATTTCAGGGGACTTGTATTTCATAATGATACATTTCCATTTCTTATATGCAAATGAACGGGGCGTGGTTAGCTCACAGATCCAGACCAAAGCAACAGCACCACAACACTGACTCAATAGCTCTTGTTTCACACTCCAGTACTCTTAAGTGGTTTGAAAACTGCCAATAAACCAAACCGGTTCCGGTTCAACACTAACCAGGCTTCGTGTGATTCTGTTTATTTGTACCTTACTTTGACCATCCGTTCACTGTCATTGATCATTGTGGAGAGCAGGCAGAAGTGTTGTTTTGTATTATAGCAGCTATCAGATGGAATCAATACATGGGCTGCACAGGTTGTGCTGTCGGACTATCACAAGTAGAATCATAATGAAAAGGTCAAATGTGCCTGTAGAAAACGGCTTATGCCACAATAGGATAGCAACAAGTAGTCAAGATAGTCAGATTAGCTTCGGTTGCTGTTGCATAACTGCGGTCAACTCAGCCGTCTCTCGCGTTCGCTTGTCAAATCAGCAGTTATTCATTTTTGAGTGCGCAATTAATAGCGCCTTTATGGTAATCGCTGTACAAGAGTCAAATAATGCATGTTTTTTTCTGCTTTATTTGCAATACAAGTCATTTGTACCATAAGTTCTTAATAAAACTGACACTGTTTGACTCAGTCCTAGTTTGACTGCTACAATAAAATAAAGTTTTTACTGTGTACTTTTTGTGTAATACTCTCTCAAAGTTCCCTCCTGAGAAGAAAATCATGCCACTTCTGCTATATTTGATGAGAGGTACAATTATTGTTAGCAATAAGTTCTTAATAAAATTGGTACTGTTGGACTCAGTACTTGTTAGACTACTACCCCAAATACAATGAAATGGGGCGAAGCCTGCGAGCTAGTTCAGGCAGTCAACTCGAGCACTTATGCTGCATTCATACATAACGCTCCCTTGCCACTCTACAACCAACCAAACAGAGTCTCCTTAATATGCCGCTCTATTTAACCTGCCAGATCTCTCTCCATGCATAGCTTGCTGCTGCTATTGCTGCAGCTACGTCGCTGCTGCATGCTGCCCCACCACCAATACATATTGCAAAACACTGAGCCACAGCCTCCCAGTATTGTGAATGCTTTTAACGCTTATTAAATATAGCAGAAAACATGCATTATTCTACTCAGAAGGGGAGTTTGACAGGGGATTACTCAAACACTTGATTGTACTTGTGGGAGTAGTCCAAGTAGTACTGACTCCAACAGTATCAATTTCATGTAGAACTTGTTGCAAAAAATCATTGTATCCCTCATCAAATATAGCAGAATACATGAATTATTGTACTCAGGAGGGGAGTTTGACAAAGGATTACTCAAGAAGTACACAGTCAAAATACTGTATTGTACTTGTGGGAGTAGTCCAAGTAGTACTGAGTCCAACAGTCCCAATTGTAATAAGAACTTATGGCAAAATATCATTTTATCTCTCATCAAAGATAGCTAAAAACATGCATTATTGTACTCTGGAAGGGAGTTTGACAAAGGATTACACAACAAGTACACAGTAAAAGTACTTCATTGTATTTGTGGTAGTAGTCTAACAAGTACTGAGTCCAACAGTACCAATTGTATTAAGAACTTATGGTACAAATGACTTGTATTGCAAATAAAGCAGAAAAAAACATGCATTATTTGACTCTTGTACAGCGATTACCATAAAGGCGCTATTAATCGCGCACTCAAAAATGAATAGCTGCTGATTTGACAAGCGAACGCGAGAGACGGCTGAGTTGACCGCAGTTATGCAACAGCAACCGAAGCTAATCTGACTATCTTGACTACTTGTTGCTATCCTATTGTGGCATAAGCCGTTTTCTACAGGCACATTTGACCTTTTCATTATGATTCTACTTGTGATAGTCCGACAGCACAACCTGTGCAGCCCATGTATTGATTCCATCTGATAGCTGCTATAATACAAAACAACACTTCTGCCTGCTCTCCACAATGATCAATGACAGTGAACGGATGGTCAAAGTAAGGTACAAATAAACAGAATCACACGAAGCCTGGTTAGTGTTGCCTGACTTTATAAAGTGTGTTATTTTTTTATAAGTGTGTGGTTGGGTTCTAGTCACTTTGCTCAGCGCTACTGCTTGTTACAACTTTCATTTTCCATACTCGCCATAAACTGTTATTATGGCTCAGGTTAATCTCGCCCCCTTCCGACGTGAGCGTGGTTCTTGGTTCTTGCCGGGCAGCCAAGTGGGGTCAGCTAAGAACCGGTTTTCGGTGTTTAGAGCCGGCGGCTCCGCTGCGGCTGAAACAGGAAGAACCAGAGCTAAATCAGGCTTTAGCCCGGAACTGGCTCTGGACTCAGAACCAGAAAAGCACAAGAACGGCTCTTGAACCGGAACCGGTTTGGTTTATTGGCAGTTTTCAAACCACTTAAGAGTACTGGAGTGTGAAACAAGAGCTATTGAGTCAGTGTTGTGGTGCTGTTGCTTTGGTCTGGATCTGTGAGCTAACCATGCCCCGTTCATTTGCATATAAGTAATGGAAATGTGTCATTATGAAATACAAGTCCCCTGAAATAAATAAATGTGTCATTATGAAATAAGTCTCTTGAAATAAATAAATGTGTCATTATGAAATAAGTCTCTTGAAATAAATAAATGTGTCATTATGAAATAAAAGTCCCATGAAATAAATAAATGTGTATTTAAATGTACATGTATACATATTTATTGCCTCATTTATTTATTTCAGAATTTATTTCATAGGCATATTTATATATATATATATATATATATATATATGCATTTATTTAATTATTTATTTATTTAACTTTGGCTTAAATGGCATTCCATACTATATAGCCGAACTGGTTTAAACAGGCTTTAATGATACAGCAAGTGCCACACTTTCTTATTATTTCTTACCTGGTAGTGCTGCAGATGGTAGAGAGCAGCAGAGCGGTTTGCATAGCAGAGAGACAGCTGCTCCGAGTTTAGAGGATTAACACATATGCCCTTTCATAAGGAGAAGGAGATCACTGGATGTCAATATGTATTTATTTCGACAGTTAGACATGTCATGCTATATAATCACAAATTAATTTAAATAATGGGCATCTCAAAATATAATCAATTTACATTTTCATTATATCATCGCTTCAGCCATAACTTTTCTGAAATTCAACTGAAATTGGAATGTTGGACACAAATATAATGGCCTGGGTACTTTTTTGTTTTTTTCAGACTCTCTAAATAACCCTAACCCCTATGATTAATGTTTGTTATTTTGAGAAATGAAAAAGTTCATGTGGAGGAGCCGGGTACCCGCTATTAAAAAGTGGCAACAGATAACCCAGAAGTACCACATAAATGTATTTTGTTTTTATTTTCTGGCACATAGTGATCAATAGAGTCATATGTGTACTTCACCTGTGAATAGTGCAGAGCAGCTGCAGTGAAGTCTCTGATCTTGAAGCTGGAGTTCCCCCTCTCCCTGCATTTGGCTCCCTGCTGTGCCTCCTTCTGTACGGAGTATGCTGCAGAGATTGACTGCACGAAGTCCAGATCCTCCTGACTTTAAAACACAAATGGAGATAAACTAAGTACTAATCAAGTAGTTTACTAAGTTATTACTTGAGTTAATGTATCTAGGTTCAACATTTTCTATTGGTAATTGTTTACAGAGTTAAAGAAAACCTAAATGTACATTTGCCAAGTTTAGTTAAACGGCCCAATTGAAAAACAAGGCTATGTTCACAAATACTTAATACAAATAACTTTTAAATAGTTAATGGACCTTTATTTAGTTAGTGACGTTGTCCTCAGATATACACTTTAAACCCACAAGCAGCTAACTGCAGCAGTAAGCTAGCTACTCACGTTGTCAGAGTTAGGCTACATTTGAAAACATCATCTATTTCAAGTAGGGTAGTAAACTTTTCCTTTAGCTCGGGGTCAAGTACGGTCCATTTTTGTGCAACATAATCTTGCCACTGGATGCATGGAAGATCCATCATGAACTACAAATAAACCACATGCGCACCGGATGATACTTCTGGGTTTGTTTTGAGTTTCGTTTCACGCGTGCTCACGGCACACAGAGCACAACTGTCAAGGTAGCGCAGATGAAAAAACAACTTCCGATCTCAACCTTCAAAATAATACCCTAACATATGACAAAGGGAACAATGTTGATTAATTGCAATGCATGAATATCATAATTGAATACTGAGTGTAAAATATCCAGTTATAGTTTCGTTTATGTTAATTAACCGTACGTGTTCTAAACAATTATATTTGCGTTTCACAATTCCTGACAGACTGTACTTTATTTTGAAGGCTTTAATGTTCAATATCTGACAATAATCCGTGTTGCAAATATCGTCTGTCTCTCTTCTCTCGCGATACATTTCCATATTTTTTACTTGGCTACGCACATCAACACCTAAAGTCTGCTGGCTTTGAGAAGCACATTACCTGGGGAAATGAGTGTAACACTCACAAATGGGGCAGTTGAAGTAAGCGTACATGTTAATATAATACACTGTTTATTGTATTGACTTGAAATAGTAATACTAGCTTCGAGCCGTCGTTTTTCTGCAGCTGTTAGCACTGTCAGCTAATGAGATTTTGTTTTGACAGCTGAATAAAGCAACATTAACATTAACCTACCAAATTGTGAAACGTTTTATGTTATTTAAAGCCAGTTTCCTGTGTTAATGGTGTTAAATAAATACAAGCTTGCCTCATGTATTCAAATATTGACGCAAAAACAACGCTTTATTTATGTGTTGTGACTCAAATCTCACTATTTGACCAATTCTTCCTAAACATTTGGTGTCTATGTTGTTGACGCTTACCTTCCAGTGGCGGTACATGTATTTGCCACTTCATTAATCTCTTATGCATGTTTTACTGTAACTTTGGTAGCATGGTAATGTGACATGGGACAGGATGGGGCCAGGCAGCAGACAAGATACTAACCATGTGTGTTGTTGTCTAGGCCCTGGTAAAAGGCTCAGATGTGAACAATGCCGTGCTGCAGATACTTGTAAGTAAACTCTCACTCTCTGCATTGCCTCTAATGTCTATGCTGTCTCTATACAGTAAATACAGCCATGCTTATATGAAGATTATTATTAATGTTTATATTTTGTTTACTGTACTATGTACACAGGGCAGTTGGATTTCTAATGTTACTGTCAAATGAGTGTGATAATGTTGAGCCTTGTTTTTTGTACTTATAAAATCCTGCTTTCCATTTGTGTTTGTCAGAACATCCGTCAGGTGTCTACTGGCTCTCCACCCAGGTACCGGCTAAGGATGAGTGATGGCCAGCACACTTGGTCTTGTGAGTATCTTGTAGTTGCCAAGTCTGTGACTGTGGGTTTGAAATGTTGGTAGCAAGTTGTAATGTCATTAATTATTAAGCAATAATTAGTTTTGAATTATATACGGTCTCTTTTTTAAGAAAATCATGCCTAAGGAGATAATCTAGAACCAGTTATGGATAAATCAGTTGAGTCATCTTTTTTTGGAATGAACATGAATATGTTTGTATGTGTTTTGAATGTAGCCTTCCTACTGGCTACACAGTTAAACGATCTGACAGAAGACAACCTGGTACCTAACAGTGTGTTTCTGGTGAAGAAGTCCATCAACAATACATTGACAGATGGAAGGTATGTGTTTTCATTTGCATTTCCTCCATGATTCCTTTTCTATATGTATTTGGTTCTTGCCCTTAATTTAGACATATTTGAACTTCCAGGTCTGTGGTGATTTTGTTGGACATGGAGATGTTGCAGTCTGCCGAAGAAACTGGAGGGAAGATTGGAGATCCCACTCCATATGAAACAGTTGGTATGACTTTTTTTAAATGCATATTCATGAAGTCAGGATCCATTAAAAATGGCTTTCATGTTCCTTATGGTGTTTTTGAACTTGCAGTTAAGACGTCATCTTCACAGGAGTCTGTCTCCAGCACCTCTGTCCCGGCCTCCCTTCCATCTGCAGCAGAACCTGGTCCCTCTAAGTGGAACAAAAGCAGTGAGTGTACTATTTAAAGCTATCGTGTAGTTTAGTGTTTTGAAGCCAGTAAAGTATTGACAGTACCAAAAATATATGGGTTGCTTTTCCGAGCCACTGCTTGCAAGGCAGAGACTTTAGAATACATCTTTGTTAAACACAACAAAACAATGCCTCCAGAGGCCCTCTGCTTGTGATATTACATGTCATTTAGATTGATACTACTCATTTGCTACAGAGATTACAGTCATTAAATGCCCCACTGATGTAAACAAGTTCTAATTTCTTCATTTAGCTGAGTTAGAAGCACTGAGCATAAGGGCTGGGATTGAGGTGAATACAGTTTTGTTCACAAGAAGTCACAGAATTAATTATTTGTTCTGAAATCATGCAGAAGGAATTCTTGATTGATATTTACTTTGAATGTGTAGTTTTCAATATATAACTTATTCACCATCGTTTAGGAATAAAATGTTCTTCTTTTTAGACAATCAATTATTACATTTCTCAGATCTCAACATATTTTGTTGATTTTTCTTATTTAAGACAGTCATTATTAATCTTCGTTGCACTGTGAATATGGAGTTATTGAATGATAGTTGCACAATAACAGGATATCTTAGGATTGATGAGATTGTTGCTCGTTTGGCTGTTATTTTATAGAAAATGTCTATACTCAACCTCTCATGTGACCAACAGAGGGAGCCATGTACCCTTGGAAAGAATAGTGCTGATGATAGATTTGCAGTTCTGTTTTGGTTTTCCTCAACACTTTTACAAAGTCTTTGTTTTTCAATCGCATTTACCATACCAAACTTTAACCGGGAATATAGACTAAAAATATCATCCTGGCATCATTCTTTTGATTCTCATAGAACTTCAGTGTTCAAATTCGGTAGACTGAGCGTCAGTTAAGAACAAGATGAAACCGGATCACAAAGCACAGCATGGTATTCAACCAGGTGGAGGTAATGGAAGACTGCAGCTCCTTTGCTCTATTTTCACATCACACTTTGCACTTTTATCTTATTTATTGCTCACCTATCAGAGCAGGAAACTATCTTCTCCACTGGCCTCTGCAGCTGGTGGACACAATAACTCACACCTTTGACTGTTTTACCACCAGTCAGCTTTTTATAACAGAATGGGAAAATGATGGTTGGCGTTCTGCCAAAACGGCTGGTGTCATGTATCATGCCGAACGTAGCCTGTGTTTTATTGGGTGCTCTTTTGTTAGCTGAGTCTTTGTTTTACTCACTTGCTTTCTACCACCAGCTGCTCTCAGCATCCACATTGATTTTGTTGTGTGGCAGAAACATACCCAATAGTCCTCCTCAGTGGAGGATGTAGGCATGTGGGTGGATAATGAGTGCTTGGTGTATATTGTTCCTTTGTAGATGTTTGTCTGCACATGTGTGTGTGTATATGTGTGTGTTGTGGCTGAGGGAGATGTGTGGGCCGATGGCTCCTCCAGTTCATGGCTTCATGAATATTGTTTTGTGGACTGAATTCCCCTCATAGCGATGCACAGGCAGAGAGAGAAAGTCAACTAATTTGACTGAGCAAAGATGAGGCTTTGCATTAAGTAGTTCATCAAACTTCCTCGTTAGATCCTTTGAATCGTGTTACCTCAGAGATCGCGCCAAATACAGCAAACTGGCTGCTCTATTTAATTGTTCGGTTGATGAAACACTCCTGCATTCTTTTCTACAGCCAAAAACAAGCCTTATGCATAATGTCTCACTAGTAAGTTGTATCTCCTACTGAATGTGTTTAATTACTTTGTTTTTGTTAATAGCAATGCGATACATTTGTGTGCCGTTGAAATATTATGCAAGTGCCACAAATGATTTGTTTCCAATGAGCTGTGAGTGTTAAGACTGGGTAGGGTCCTGTTTTATCAGAGAGTCGGGGTTCAAGCCTCTTCACAGTCCTTCAGCTCCTCCCAACAGGGAATGTGAGAGAGAAGGAGGCAGAGTTGCAAAGATGGAGGAATGGTTCTAACTGGACAATGTGGATTTTAAGAGATGGTTACCCCTCATGACGCACATCATCTGCCTGATGCCTCAACAGCAATTACAGATCTATTGCTGCATTAGAGCATTGTAAAATGAACATCAATACACAAATACATGTGGTAATTACTAAAATAATATAACAAGCCATAGAGCCCAATCATGTAAAACATTCTTCCGTGACGGTGTGCCTATCCTAAGCAGGCTCAAGCTAGATTTAAAAGACTAATACAAATAATCTGTAAATCTCTTTAGGATAAACATTGTGCCTGAATGAGCCAGTTGGAGCAGTTTATGATTTAATGTGATTCAGAATAAACACGGATAATCATTTATGTTTTCTGCATAAACATGAAAAATGCTCAATGTTTACACTACAGTGTTACAATTATTCAATAATATTACTAAGTCTTACAATATAGCTGTTTCTACAACAGCTGCTCTTGTACTGTCCAATCAGATCAGCCGATCAAGCACGAACAGGTTCTGACTTCCTCTGGACCGTGATCTGGATATTGATCAACTTCATCATTAAGGATGATATGTCTCAGAAAAGACAAGAAGGAAGGAACCAAAGGTGTATCCTACTGTAGGTGGAAGTATTTTTAAAGGCACAACAACACCATTAGGAAGCGAGGACGGGAGAAAGCGTAATTAGCTGAATGTAAAGCCCGCCCTATCAGCCACGGGGGCTCTGATCTGCAGAGAAGCCTGACCTCTGGCAGCGAGGACTGGGAGGATTTCCCCCTGATGTCAGCAGACTTTGATGGAATCCTTTCAAATATTTTCAGCATTTATTATTAATGTACATGTATGGATGACTTGTAATTTCTGTCAGTCATAAGTGACATTGTTCGCCCTTAAATACAAAAATATTACCAATATTAATATTCTGTATTGTTTTAAAACAAACTAGTCTGTAAGCACTTGGTGTGGAGCCAAAGGTCATGACACAGTCGTCACTGACGTCTCTGTGTTCCCATTTAAATATTCATCAGCAGCAACCCCTGAAATAGACCACCTTAAAACTGCTTCGCAGATGATATTTAAATTCTAAAAAGAGAGTTAAAAAAATGATTCATTATTCATTACTAACTATTCTCTGCAGGTTTCTTTTGTCCTCACAACTCTTTACACTTTGCCACTTATTCTCTGAACACGCTCTCGCTTTCTTATTCACTTTCTCTATTTATGGCCTTTTCCTTGTCTATATACTTTTAATTTTCTCTGCTCCTGTTGTATCCTCACCATCAAGCACTCTCCTCAAACGGGCGGCGTTGAATACGTTAGTGGCCGACATATTAGGACTCTGTACTCATCTTAATCACCAAAAATGAGGATTCTTGATCAATCTCTGTGCCCCGCTCTTTGCTCTGTTCTTCTCTCGTCCTCGCCCATCTTCAGCTCGTCTCTTCTTTCACTACATGCCTCTTTCCTTTAAACACTCCATCCGAATGGCGTGTGTATGAATATTGATGTTAATTACCTCTCGCCTGAAAATAGCTGTTCAATCTGTGATTCCCCCAAGGATACATGAAACACACACACACATACACATACACACACACACACACACACACACACACACACACACACACACACACACACACACACACACACACACACACAAACACACAAGATACTGCACACCAGCAGGGGAGGGTATCATCAAGGTGAGTTGCTGTTATGCTCCAGAACAGGAGCTTATATCAGCGGAGTGGTCTCTGTGGAATTGCACCTTTTTATCCCTGACAATTCTTCCCCTCAAATGCTGTTCCTCAATATGATACGCCATTCAAGCCAACATGAGAAATTGAGCAAAATATATTTTGACAACAGCCAACTATCTAGCCTGAGTCACTGCGGATGGGGCTGATTCAACGTTATTGTGGGAGGTGAGAATAACACCTTGCAATTCTGTAGGCCGGTCGGAACTGTTCAAGTTTGCTGGCATTGTCATTTTTAAAATAAATATAAAAGATGAGCTATTTAGAAAACAATGGGAACTTTTTCTTATCTTTGCTTTTGTATTTGTGTTGGTCTGTCTGTGATTTATTTTATATTGGGTCAAAGTAAGGTGGATTTAGTGCACACCTACCTAATCTTGAAAAACATTATAAACTAGTAATTCATTGTAACACTTTGAGTTTTATTGATTAGATATTACTTGTATTTTATGTATACAAGTGAAGGCTTCCTCATGTATTCATACTGCTAAACACATTACTGCCTATTTAAAACATTCATTTGACCTTTATATAAGGTATAATACCCTCTAAAGGTTTTGTTTTACTCTGACACAGACTCGTGAATGTGGTTAGGAATGTATATTTGATGTCAGTACTGATATTCGGATATTTCATTCTTATTTTTCCAATGACCAAAAGGCATACCGTAGGTAAAGTAATTAAAACATTTAATAATCAATGGGCAGTATTACACTAAAACGGTTTCATTCATTGGCACAAACTTTACAAATTAGTAACTCTACAGGGAGATCTGTGCGGAGAGTTTAATTTTCTCAGGCAGTTTATCATTTGGCTGCCGCTCAAATGATCAGATACCAGTACAACCACTAATGTTTTATAATCGCTAAAATATGTTTTTATAGTGTTTCATTAATTCCACATTGCCTCTTGGAAAATCCAGTAAGTGTTCTACCAGTTACGTACCCTTATCATCAAATTAAGTGGTTAACCTCATCTACTGTGCATGAAAACTTTTGCATGTGTTTGGAGGTTATTTAGCAACTCAAGAACTCCCAAAAAAAGAGATTTAGTAAGAACACAGTATGTTCTATGCAATGTGTTGAAATACCTGGATGTACAAGTGCATCTGGTCACAATTTGCATTACAGTAGATATGTGAGCAAGAGAGTCAACGTCAAAGGTGCCTTATTTGGATAAAGTAGTATTTCCCAATGATACAACATTACACACTTTGTTAGGGCAGCTGCAGAACGTACCAAAAGCTGAAGAAAGTGATGATATTTTGGGAAAGCAGCTTCAGATTGAGCATGTCTGCATTGTGGGCCACGTAGGCTACACATTTAGAATTTTTTTTTTTTAAGCTTTGAAAAGTGTAATTGCTCAATAAATGTATTCATCTTTAATCACTATTTAATTTTCATCTTGTACATTTGGAGTACACATATTCAGGAACGATCTAACTTTGTTTCCCTGCAGACCGTTCTCCTCCACGAGGACAGGGAAGTGGTTTTGTGGGAAAGTCCCCCATGAAGGTATCACCCATGGGGGCATCACCCAGGAAGGCATCACCCATGTGGGCATCACCCATGAAGGCATCACCCTTGGGGGCATCACCCATGAAGGCATCACCCATGGGGGCATCACCCATGAAGGCATCACCCATGGGGGCATCACCCATGGGGGCATCACCCATGAAGGCATCACCCATGGGGGCATCACCCATGAAGGCTTCAACCTCCAAGTTTTCACCAATGAAAGCTTCACCAATGAAAACTTCCCCTCACAAGTTTACACCCACAAAGGGTGGCAGCACTTCTCCAGGTTCTTCAACAAAAGTGATTCCAATAGAAGGCCTCAACCCTTACCAAAGCAAGTAAGTTTAAGTGTGTGTCCATTTCTAAATGTGCCTGTTTTCACATACATGTACAGTAGTTTTAAAATTATTTAAAGGTCCCCTATTATACTGTTTTTCATCAATATATTATAGGTCTCAGATATATACAAAACATGTCTCTGAAGTGTTTGGCTCCAAATACCAAACAGATCATGCATTGTAACACCCCTCTGTTTCAGCCCTGTTTCAAAAGTTCTGATTCTCTGTCTGTGACTTTAGATGAAAATAAGGAGCCACTCCCCTCTGAGAGATACTTGGTTAAAAAGAACACAATGGTGCTCTAGGAGGAGATTCAGGTGGGGGGGAGGGGGGGTTACCTTAGTTGGTTATTGGCTAATGGTTACACAAGCCAACAAATCGTTATGACATCATAAAGTGGCCAAAATCTGATCAGCTCATTTTCAGACAGGTTTTTATAGAAATGGATCAAGAAGACAAAAAGTGAGCAAATCTTTTTTCCTGAAACTTTCAGAGTCTCTTTGCACAGAGGGGACACATGTTGATGTATAAACAACATGAAAAAGTGGATTTTGCATAATAGGTGACCTTTAAACAAAACGTAACTTTGCAAGGAAGCTGACTTGTATGCATTTCCTCCAAGATTCTAGGAAAACAATGTTTTTTTCCTTATACTCGTTATAACAATTTCCTCTCATGCTGTGACTCTACTTTCCTGTTTGCTGCTATTTCAGAGAATCTCTTTGGGGCATGTTTTAAAATGTGTATCTTTATTCCTGCGTGAGCATTCAGTTGTTCTTTACCAATGCCTATATGCTTGTGTGTGTGTATGGATTTTGCGTGGGCACTCAGCCCATCTGCAAGGAAATGAAATGACCAATCTTTCCTCAGAAAGGTAGACTTTAACGGCAGGTACTGCTGGGTCTTTATTGTCTGCTGCTGAGGTTTTGATTCTGCTATTTTCCCTGGTGGGGATTTGGCCAACCTCGTTTTGTTCCCCCCTTCCTTCTATTCTCACAATTTCTTTACTTCCTCCGGGGTTTAATTTGACTGTTGCCCCCCCCCTCTTGCTTCTTATCTTTTCATTTAGCTTAAGTCTCTCGCCTTCAAATTGGCCACAAAAGACAAGGGAACCGTATAGCGAGATGTATTTACCCAGATTGAACTAAAGGTAACCTGTCAGCTCTCTCTCATGTATGAACTCTGATATTGTAGCCCAGTTTGAAATTGCAAGCTGTAAAGTTAACTGTGCCTCTAGGTGTTGTAACAAACTGATGACTGTTCTAACTTTGAAGTTGGGGAGTACCTACAGTGAGCAAAACAGATTACTTCAGCAGCTGTGTTCTGCTACGTATGTTAGCGTGAAAAGAAAGGCGCGGGTGTGTGGGATGCTGTGTTTGTGTACATGTGTACATGGTCTTATAGGGCCATTTGCACAGCTTTCTCATCCCATTCTGCCGCTGTTAAGTAATAGCATCTAGAGCAGAGTATAATTGGCTTTTAGCTGCCATAAACCTTGGTGTAGCAGTCTTATCCATACTGAGCAGGGAATGAGGTTCACTCTGGGCCAGCAGCTGCTCTCATGATAGGGGATTTAATTGCAGGCAAAGTTATGGTATTAATATCCTCAACTGCACAATTATCAACGCAGTCAAAAAGCTCACTGCTGCATAAACTGCCGAGCTAGGCTGGCTGTTGTTAAAAACAGAACAAGAGGCATATTTGAAATGCATCCCGGAGTTGGCAGATGAACACCTAGTTCACTCTTTGAAGAGAAAGTTGCTGCGTGTTTTTTTTCTTCTTTTCTTTTTTAAAACTTTTTTTTTTAAAAAGGAGACACTCATCCAGTTTCCTTATGTAAGAGTTGTGATGCTCATTAACAAAAAAAGAAGCTTTTAATAATTTGTCTCTGCAGCGTTCTTTACTGTTTGGTTTGACCTGAAAACTTCTACACTTTTAATTAAGTTGAAGAACATAACTGTGTTGGCCTAAGACAACTTCATTGTTGTTATAGTTACGTGTATACCCATAAAATAAATCTGATTAAAGGCATTCTCGTTCATCCGGCAGGTAAAATATTTGAAAAAAAACGTATGCAACAAATGTCTTCTTTAATGTTTTCACCGGGGCCATTTGGGCTAAGTCAACATCACTTATTGCACATCGCGTGATTTACCTTATTTTGTTGACATATGCTCTGATTCATTATGATACGCTCTCTGTGTATTCTTAGATGGACTATCAGAGTCCGAGTCACCAACAAGTCCAGCATCCGCACCTGGAGTAACTCTCGAGGAGACGGAAGGCTTTTCTCCTTTGAAGTACTGGACGAGAGTGTGAGTATGTTTATGTTTATTAAGGATCCCCATTAGCTTTTGCTATTGACAAAAGCTACTCTTCCTGGGGAACACTTCCACTTGAAACAATACAACAATAATACAACAATAATACAACAACATTCAAGGCATAAGTCCTGACATCATTAACAACATCACCAATATCCTCACGAGTAGACGAGTGGAGAGGCCTGAATATCAGTTTTGTGCATGCATGTCAAACACATGTCACACATGGCTGTTTTTGGTTTTATCCGTGTAACGAAATGTTGTTTGATGGAAATGTGCTGCTCAACAGGGAGAAATCAAGGTCACAGCGTTCAACAAAGAAGTGGACCAGTTTTTCTCACTAGTGGAGCAAGGCAAGGTGAGCAGACCCCCCCCCCCTTCACCCACACCCATCCTTACTGGAAGTGATAAGAGTTTCTTCCCTTAAAAATAAACTTGAGTTATTTTGTTACACATTATTATTCCAGCTTCGAACGCTGGAAAGACATTTTTGTATTTGCATTGTTTCAGAAGGAGCTTTGAAGCATTGCAGCCATTTCATTTCTTTGATGAAGTTGACAACATTAAGACAATATCTAAAGGCTGTAAAAATCCACAAACAACTTGCAGAGTAAGCTTCTAAGCTCAGTTATCCATATTTTATGCGCATAACGCCTCAAACTAATATATCATAGGTAAAAGAGTGCCTAACAAACCCTTCTGCAAAATCCTTTAATGCCTTCAGGACTTCTGACCAATGAATGAGCCGGAGGCAAGTATTAGAGGATTTTGTGGAAGGGATTTATTATGTCGTATTTTTCTGAAATATATGCTATATATTTGAGACATTTACAGCATTTGGGAAGACATATGAGGCCAGGAGTATGCTGAGAGCAGTGGGAACAAACTTCTGATGTGTTGATATTGTTTTGTTTGTTTGTTTGCTGATATTACATCTATTACCAATGTATTGAAATGGCTACCAGTCCAGCAGGCTGTGTTCTCCATGGAGGACGTGTTTTATAAAGTTTCTATTCCAGCATTAGTAATCGATACAGAGATAATTATTATTTTGCGTCAATATGCTCACTCCTTCTCTACATAATAGAAGCGAAGCAATCACTTTAAACACCGGAAACAATGGGGCGAAGAAATGCACAGTTTTCATTTTTTCATATTTGTGTCTTAATCCTGGTAGTCATGGTGATTTATTGCTAATGTTGTGTCCTGGCACTTTTTCTTCCAGGATGATCACAACGCATTTCGGCACATCATCTCCCTCTACTTCATTGTCAGACTTGCAATCCATTAGAAAAACCTACAACACAAACAACGAAACACACAAGAAGAATGACGCTTGATTTTCTCTTAGACTGCAGTCACGGTACTTCTCTTTACAGCAAGTAAAGAGAAGAGGAATTACAGCTACAGTAGCAACAAAAATCTTCGAAACATTTGCTCAGGCTTCTTTTTTATTCAAAGGCCCACATATTTGAATACCCACTTTTTTATTTGATTTCAAATGACTCTTGTAATATATATTTGTATTTATTGAAAGCCTAACAACACAAGATCTTCAGATAAGCTATGGCTTTATAAAATAATAAAAAATCCTTTGGGATTCTAGTATTTATCATATCGACTATAACTAAGATCAAAATCAATGAAACATTATCATTATTTTAATCTTGTCGCACAGTCATTTCTCAGAAAAAACTTGGAGATAGCATTTGATAATAGGATCATCTTTCATCCTGAGGGTCCTGATTCAAGACCCTGTGTCAGCGAGGATCTGCTTTACTGTCCAGCTTCAGCTAAGGTTATGTAACTGACACTGATGCTGGAGGCCTGCAAAAACAACTCTACACAATAATGTTATGTTGTATAGTAGGATGCCTAAAATACTAACGCATTTTAAGAAATAATTCAAATTTAAGAAATTCCTTTTAACAATAAAACGTATAAGTGCTGCCCTTAAATGAAACTTGTGCCTTCAGGTCTTCGAAGTTTGAAGTCATGTTCATAGTATACCAGAATATTGCGTACAAAAAACACAAGGGTGGCATTAATAAAAAAGTGATAAAGAGTAAAATGTCAGAAGAGGTATCCAGATGTAGGAGGGCAAACAAGGACAGATATCACCTTTTTTCCTCAATAAGGCGTTGGCAATGGTCTCAGGCTATTGTTCATGCAAGAAACAATGGCCTTGTGTTCAAATGGGTGGTGCTCACCCTGAACATGCCATTTGGAAATGAACAACAGGTAGAACACATGTTAAAGCTCTTGCTCAACTCCGTGTGTCCACAGAGCTTAATAACTCAATTAACCCCAACCATCGTTTTGCTCGTCACACGGTCTCAGGTATCAGCCGCTGACAGGGACTCCCAACAGCCCCACATCCAATTTGTGCCCTCTGCCCTCCAAAGATAAATAAAGGAATGAATCCGTCTTCCCTTCGTGATTGGAGTATTGACAGAACAGTGAGTGGGTGTGACTGGCTCTGAGTGGCCAGAATGCTTATCACATTAGCTTCATCTCTGTGTGGGGTAAATCAGAGAGAGAGGGGAAGGAAAGCAAACAAGTCATAGAGCGAAAATCAGAGGCAGAGAGATAGAGGCTATATACCTAATATTGGAGGGTTGGGGGAGTAAACGAAGAAGTGTGCCTCGCATATTGAGTTTTACATGTTGCTGTTTAGCAGACTTGCTCTCAGCTGCCGCTTATTTTCTGGTGAATTACAGAAGTGATGGGCCTGATATGACACCACATTTTAGTAGGACCTGAAGGTTTTTCCTTTCTTATTAAGATTTTTGGGTGGAACAAGAGGCTCTTTTGTAAAATAATCATTTCCTTTGCGGGATCAATAAAGTGGTTACCCAATCGATTGGTTCACACTGCTTTAACTTCACAGGAAATAATCAGTCTGATTAGCTTTGATTTGATGACTTTGCTCATCCTTTCTCTGTAGGTGTACTACATCACTAAGGCTACACTGAAGGTAGCTAACAAACAGTTCAACACACTGAAGAACAACTACGAGATGACCCTCCACGCTCACTCATCCGTCGTGCCATGTGATGACAGTCAGGGCATTCCCGCAGTGAACTGTGACTTTGTGCCCATTGCAGAGCTGGAGAACAGAGATACAGACACCATTGTTGGTAAGAGACGAATTTCATCAATGAGAATTGATTAATACATTTCTAGTATTCATCCACTCAAAGATAAAAACGTAAGAATGAAATAGCAGGTCTGTTAGAGGGAACGGTAAATGCAAATGAAGTGTGGCCGATCAAGGTTTTTGTTTTGACATCTCTCTCTCTAGCGCATGGTTTTCAATCCTGTCTTGAAAACAGTTAAATCAACTGATTAAGATAGATATGTGTCACAACCAATCAGCCGTCTGTGGTTCGGGCTCAGAAGATGACTCCTCCCTCTTCAAACCTTGTGAACAGTGGAAACAAGTGTGAAGGGTGATTCACCAACTGTGCAACCCAAGAAACCTAAAATACTTTTACAAGGGAAAAATAGAAAGCATGCGGCCCAATTTATAACCCAGAGGACGGCTGGTCAGGCTGCCAGTATTAGAACATTTGGGGTATCGGCTGGGTCATCTCTTTATCTACTCTATCAATTCACACAATTACAAATGATAGATTACATGTTTTGCTAATAGACAGGCTCATGCCAGTTGTACCATTATGATGGGGTCAGAAGGAAGGTTAATTCAGACATATTGGAAAGAGTAGAGATATAACGAGGATAATGTTCCATTCACTGTTTTTATAAAGGTTAGTTGCAATGCCTGCCCTCTGTGCCTGAGAGAAATGTCTTATCTCGGTGACAGGTAAATTGAGACGACCGATGTGTAGATTGGTATTGAAAAACAGTGTGATTGGCTCTATGTTATTAGTGAGATGATGTACAGGTATTATACTAATATTAATAATTAATTGCGTTTATTTTAGCGCTTTACATTACATATTACATATATTAGATAGCAATACTGTACATCAATACTGTGGACAATACCCACAGGAGCAATTTGGGGTGAAGTGTCTTGCCCAAGGACACAACGGCATGTTGACTGCAGTAGGGGTCATGGCGGGATTAAACTAGTGTTCCCCTGCTCAACTGACCTGAGGATCAGCGCACTGTCCCCGGTGTGACAGTGATGTTTCTGTAGTTGTGGCAAAGAGTGTCTTTTTTTAAAACTGCTATTGATCTATATGCAAGTACATCGCTTATTTTTTTGAGTAGGGCATTATTTAAATGTGTATAATTTTCATTTCAGTACAGGTTTATCAGGACCCATTTAAAGCTGATGGTGTCATTATACGGCCATTACATCTTCCAAACAACTTTATAATGATAACTTTAAGAAACATTTTGAATTGCTGCTTAAACAAAATGAAATAGGCACACATTTTGATTCAAATAGACACATAATGACTTAATCATATTCCAGTCTGAGCAGAAAAGTACAGAAGCCTTGAGAAGTTATCAAAGTTAAATGGCCAGTGAGTATTATAGTGAAGCAGAATTTAAAGAGCAATCTCTGACGCATTTCTCACCACATCCATCAGTTTCTTCATTTTATCACACACACCCAGATGGGAAATTGCACTTCACTTTGCATTGTATACTGTAGGGCTGTAATTAACTATTCGACATGCCATATTAGAGATTAAATTAATGGTGGCTATGAAATGCCAACCACATACTGTAACTTACCGAGTGGATGATTCATGTAGGTTTACATTCAGAGCAGTAATATTGCATCACTAAAAGAGCGTAAACTATGAGCAATGTAAGCCAGCGGAGCATCACTGTTTAGATGCACTGAGAGGGTTTACCTGCTGGAGTGTGTTCGCAGAGGGGCAGCGCTACACGTCCTGACTCCTGTGTGTGTCATCTGTTGTCTCTCCATTCACTCTCTCCCCACTACCGCTCTCCTTGCTCCTTTGTTAAATAGGGGATTATAACATGGTAATGAGAACTGTCAGCCTGTTCCTGTGGTGATAATGGAGTTCAGAGGTGGATGACATCGTCTCAATCATAATGGAAATAACGAGGGCTAAAAAGGCACAGACACGGAGCAAGAGAGGAGGGGGGAGAGGGAGAGTTTAGAGAAAGGTTAGCAGAAGTAGCAGTCTGGAGGATGACGTTTAGAGAATGACTGGTTTACAAAATCTATATTGTAATTAGGCCCAGTCATTTTAGTTAATGCATGGGCTCTGGTTGTGACATCATGGGATGACGGACAGAAAATTAACTAACACTAATTCAATCATTGCCATTTAAAGGGGCCCTGTGGAGCATTTCACCTCTAGTAGTGCTTTTGGCAATGCTTTTACATGTGGGTCCCTGTTATGTGTACACACAACACAACACATAACTCAATAGATGGCGGAAATGAAATTGCAATGCTGTAACAACGGCAATGAAGAAGACTGCAGTAGTAAGTAAGTAAACAATGCAATAAAAAAGAAGCTTTTTTAAATTGTTCAAATGTTGGTTTAAAATGAGGAAAGGCATTCAACATATTGTCAGGTCAATGACATACACAGAGCATTTTAGAGGGTAACTTTGTTTGTTTACAAGAAAAACTGCACCTTTTTAACCATTAGGTTTTACAGCATGTAAAATGACAAACCTTTGTCGCTAATAGCTTCGTTGTTTTGGCTGCTTTTCTTTTCATACGATTGAAAATATCGAAGACGTTTTTTTCGTGTCAATTCTAGACTAAAGATTCAATCATAGGATGTCAGTTTGTACACACAGTCTATTTAACCTTTGGTTATATGATTAAAATGTGTTCATTCATAACAATTCATAATACTTTTCCGAAATTGATTCAGTCTTTTTATTTGCTTTGTTTTCAGTAACCTTTCAACACTCCGTTTGTTCTACAAGAGCGTCTTGAATTAATTTGACTTCGGGTTTAATTCTTAATTTCAGTCCGTTTTAGGCTCTGCTCTTCACCTTCTCAGCGCTCAGCAGTAATCCTGAATGAAGTTGTGTCCCTGAGCATGACAGGAAACATGAATGAGCATGTTTGTTGTGGTTCTGAGTGTGGTTCTGGGTGTTAGCCAGCATGTTATGACATTTATGTCAGTCTGCTACAACTGGCAACATCAGAGGGGTGTCTACTCTCTGCTGTGTTGGGTCTTTAGTGCTCATGATGTGATACCACTTGATATAATGTAGTGTATCCAGGGGGTATTTTCACACTTTACACCATGTGGAGGCATTTCAAAAGGCTCTTTTCACATAACAGACAATTGCTTTCTTACCTCTTTGGATTGTTGTCTACCTGGAGGTATCTATAGATGGAGATATACAATGACTCCCTCTGCCTGTAGATGTAATTGGAGTGTGCAAGAGTGCCGACGATGTATCCCGTATCACCACAAAGACCAGCAAAGAAGTCTCCAAGAGGGCCCTCCAGCTAATAGACACGACTGGCAAAGTGGTGACACTCACACTGTGGGGAGAGGAGGTAATAACTATAATCTCTTTCCTTGCTCTCTGTCTGCATTCAGGGATGGATTTGCGGTTTATCATAAAAACTTGTTTAGCAGTCTGTAATTAATCGTGTGTTTTATGAAGGTGCCCATCCATTGATGCACATTATCTGTGTGTGCTCTGGCGAACCGAGGCGGGTGGGCTTTCTGGGCTGTAAAATTTGGATCGGTCAAATCATTCTCCTGACCTTCAGGAGTGTTTTGAACCAGAGGCCCTGATTTGAGCTGAAGGCTAAATAACTCTCGAATGTGCATGAAATGGCACTATTCTTCTCTAAGCTCATTCAATCTGCAAGAGCTAATCCCTCCTCTTTGCCAAAATCCAAAAATGACTTTCAAATGACTTGTAGGTTGTCCAATCATAAAAGCAAACTATACCACATATTACTTTGTGCCCTCTGCAAGCTGCAGGAACAGACTGCACATACAAGAAATAAAAACACAACTTATTTAGTCGTCTCTTGTTCTAAATCTTTCTCCCCTCAATTACTGTCTGACACACTTTGTTCTTTCTGCAGGCGGAGAAGTTTGCCTGCTCTGTAAACCCTGTGGTGGCCGTCAAAGGCGCTCGGCTGTCTGATTTTGGGGGCAGATCTGTCTCAACTTTGTTCAGTTCAACAGTCATGGTCAACCCAGACTTACCCGAGGCTTTTAGTCTGCGGGCCTGGTGAGTCACACTGCTGTTCACTCATTCACCGACACTCACTCACCAACATAATCATAAACACACAATTGTCCACGGACATCCAACCACAAGCACCACACAAGACAGGTTACATGTAGACAAAGGACACCAAATATTGATTGTTTTCTCATGTTTACGTACTGTATGTGAGATATATTAAAAAGTAAACACTAGGGCTGCACAATATAGAGTTACTTACAGCAGTGACTCTGGGATGTTTGCATGTGCATAACCATATCGCAGGAAAGTCCTCTTCTGAGCCCTAAGTCAAATAGAATATAGTTTTCTCCGACTAAGTTGCCAGTTAGTGACATGCAGTCTCCGCTTTCACAACCAGCAACTAATCACGATAATTCTTGATCAGTTTATCAAACAACCAAAGTAGGCCACTGAGACCACAACATGAAATTGAGAGAGGAACAGGAAACAAAAGGGAGAAAAGTGAGATTTGATTGCAAAAAGGAAGACATTTGCATACAGAAACATTGGTTGTATGGATGTGTTATTGCTACAGAGAGGAGGATGTTTTTAAATATATAACTTTGTCTTCATCTGGTTGAAATTCCTCTTTATATCCCAAAATAAATATTACATTACATTGCATTGAGCTGACGCTTTTATCCAAAGCGATTTACAATAAGTGCGTTCGACCAATAAGATACAAACTTGAAGAAAACAGAATAATATAAGTATATCAGGTTTCATAGAGCTAAAACATTTCAAGTGCTACTCAACTGGCTTTAGTAAATAAGTGCTTTGTTAGTAATTCTTTCGCTCGAAGTGGAGTCGAAAGAGATGAGTTTTCAGTCTGCGCCGGAAGATATGTAAGCTATCTGCTGTCCTGATGTCAATGGGGAGCTCATTCCACCATCTTGGAGCCAGGATAGCAAACCCACGTGTTTTTGCTGATGGGAACTTGGGTCCCCTTCGCAGCGAGGGTGCAGCGAGCCGTTTGGCTGATGCAGAGCGGAGTGCACGTGCTGGGGTGTACGGTTTAACCATGTCCTGGATGTAGGAAGGGCCAGATCCATTCGCAGCATGGTAAGCAAGTACCATTGTCTTGAAGTGGATTCTAGCAGTTACCGGAAGCCAGTGAAGGGAGCGGAGGAGCGGCGTGGTGTGGGAGAATTTAGGAAGGTTGAAGACCAGACGAGCCGCTGCATTCTGGATGAGCTGCAGAGGTCGGATGGCACATGCAGGTAGACCAGCCAGGAGGGAGTTGCAGTAGTTTCCCGGAAGGAAGAGCAGTTCAGTCTTGTTAAGGTTGAGCTTGAGGTGGTGAGCAGACATCCACTGAGAGATGTCAGCTAGACAAGCAGAGATGCGTGCGACGACCTGGGTCTCTGAGCGGGGAAAGGACAGAATTAATTGGGTGTCGTCAGCGTAGCAGTGGTATGAAAAACCATGCGGGCTAATGACAGATCCGAGCGAGTTTGTGTACAGGGAGAAGAGGAGGGGACCAAGAACAGAGCCCTGAAATATATATTCCAATGTCAGTTTTTCCCAACATGTGCAGTCCTACCTAACACAGGTTCACACATGCACATCACCCAGATGAGCACGTGTCAGGGGACTGGTGGCAAGTGCCTCCCCAGTCCCAGCAAGCCTCTAGACAGGATTGAGGGAATAACAGAAAAGCAGAACACGGATATTTCTGGATTTCCACTCTGAACTACTACTGTACGTGCACAGAAATATGGGCACTCAGTGAGCCGCATCAAACTGGATTCTTATTAGCAGTTCCTGTGCAGGGATTTTAAATTATGACTCATTCACTCATTAAGGCTGTTCCCAAGCCTGGCCACCGCTGAAATATAAATGCATTTATTCTCCTTTTTTCTTTTCCTGTTGTGTGTATGTACATTTCAATGCCTAGTGTGCATGTGCCGGCTTGTGTGTTACACTGAAAGCTATTCTTGGATGGAACTGCGTCAAACAGTGCACTCACAGCGTCTGCATGTTATAAATAAAAGTTTAGGTTGGCTGGTTCCTGTGGGCACTATTATGTTCATTCTTTCAGTTGTTAATGACTGGTTTGAAAAGTAAGCTAACTGCTTGAACAAAAGCCATTTGTGTGTAAGTGTGTGGTGCATTATTTATAGCAGTAATTCAGTGTGTGTGTTGGAGAGAGAGGGCATGTTCCGTTGCTGGAGCTTCAATCTGAGTTCTGTTAGTCTTTTGTCAATACATCTTTATATTCAAAGGGCTAAAAAAACACCCTGCCTGTCCTTTCTTTTATTTCTCCTTCTGTTCTTCTCTGAACCCCCCCTCTCCGCTGCTGTTTGCTCCTCTCTCCAGTTTACATGCTGACATCGGTTTAGGAATGACATTGAATGTTTTTCAAGGAACAAGGAGTGTTTTCACTCCTTTTTATATCATGTAGGTCTGCGCTTTGCGAAGACAAAGAGTATCTGTCTGACTCCTGTTCCTGTGGCGGCGTGTTGCTTTGAGAGACTGTTTTGACCAGGCTTACTTGCATAATTGAAGGAAACTGATGAATTTGGATGATGCCTTGATTAGATTGTTCCTTCTCCACTAGAATACAGAGCAGGAATCACACTGATGTAATATGATTTTAAAGGGAATATTAAAAAGGTAGATACATTTATAGATGGAGTAGAAAGAAAGAGAGACGAGCATTATTTTTCTTTCTGCCTCATTAAAGAAACAGGGTTTAGGGACTCAAATGTACAGTGGGGCAAAAAAGTATTTAGTCAGCCACCAATTGTGCAAGTTCTCCCACTTAAAAAGATGAGAGAGGCCTGTAATTTTCCTCCTAGGTATACCTCAACTATGAGAGACAGAATGAGAAAAAAAATCCAGAAAATCTCATTGTCTGATCTTTAAAGAATTTATTTGCAAATTATGGTGGAAAATAAGTATTTGGTCAATAACAAAAGTTCATCTCAATACTTTGTTATATACCCTTTGTTGGCAATGACAGAGGTCAAACGTTTTCTGTAAGTCTTCACAAGGTTTTCACACACTGTTGCTGGTATTTTGGCCCATTCCTCCATGCAGATCTCCTCTAGAGCAGTGATGTTTTGGGGCTGTCGCTGGGCAACACGGACTTTCAACTCCCTCCAAAGATTTTCTATGGGGTTGAGATCTGGAGACTGGCAAGGCCACTCCAGGACCTTGAAATGCTTCTTACGAAGCCACTCCTTCGTTGCCCGGGCGGTGTGTTTGGGATCATTGTCATGCTGAAAGACCCAGCCACGTTTCATCTTCAATGCCCTTGCTGATGGAAGGAGGTTGTCACTCAAAATCTCACGATACATGGCCCCATTCATTCTTTCCTTAACACGGATCAGTCGTCCTAGTCCCTTTGCAGAAAAACAGCCCCAAAGCATGATGTTTCCACCCCCATGTTTCACAGTAGGTATGGTGTTCTTTGGATGCAACTCAGCATTCTTTCTCCTCCAAACACGTCTAGTTGAGTTTTTACCAAAAAGTTCTATTTTGGTTTCATCTGACCATATGACATTCTCCCAATCCTCTTCTGGATCATCTAAATGCTCTCTAGCAAACTTCAGACGGGCCTGGACATGTACTGGCTTAAGCAGGGGGACACGTCTGGCACTGCAGGATTTGAGTCCCTGGCGGCGTAGTGTGTTACTGATGGTAGCCTTTGTTACTTTGGTCCCAGCTCTCTGCAGGTCATTGACTAGGTCCCCCCCGTGTGGTTCTGGGATTTTTGCTCACCGTTCTTGTGATCATTTTGACCCCACGGGGTGAGATCTTGCGTGGAGCCCCAGATCGAGAGAGATTATCAGTGGTCTTGTATGTCTTCCATTTTCTAATAATTGCTCCCACAGTTGTATTCTTCACACCAAGCTGCTTACCTATTGCAGATTCAGTCTTCCCAGCCTGGTGCAGGTCTACAATTTTGTTTCTGGTGTCCTTTGACAGCTCTTTGGTCTTGGCCATAGTGGAGTTTGGAGTGTGACTGTTTGAGGTTGTGGACAGGTGTCTTTTATACTGATAACGAGTTCAAACAGGTGCCATTAATACAGTTAACAAGTGGAGGACAGAGAAGGCTCTTAAAGAAGAAGTTACAGGTCTGTGAGAGCCAGAAATCTTGTTTGTTTGTAGGTGACCAAATACTTATTTTACCGAGGAATTTACCAATTAATTCATTAAAAATCCTACAATGTGATTTCCTGGATTCTTTCCCCCATTCTGTCTCTCATAGTTGAAGTGTACCTAGGATGAAAATTACAGGCCTCTCTCATCTTTTTAAGTGGGAGAACTTGCACAATTGGTGGCTGACTAAATACTTGTTTGCCCCACTGTATGTAAATATCAAAGCTAAATGCAGAATAATGCCTTTGTCCATGATAGACAGCCATATGTCAGATGACATAGATTGCAGGATGCTGACGCTGTAAATCAGTTACGGGATTACTTGACGGGCATGACTGTAGGCAGTTTCTTTAGATAATAGAAGATACAGTGCAGTATCTCCTTCACAGGAAAGTCTGTTTATATAGCACACCTCCATGTATGTGTAACACACACATTTGCTTTCACATTCTCTTCTTTGCCATATGATACACTTCTACATGTTTACAGATGACTAATATTGAAGGTGTTACTTGAGTTACTCAGCACACGCTCTGTTTTTGTTTCATTTCACTCAAGAAATCATCCTTACGCTCTAAATAATGCATGCATGTTTGTTTTTGTTTTTTGAGCATACATTTATTTGCACATGTGTGTTTTCATGTCCACACAATAGGTATGACCAGGGAGGCTATGCGCTGGACGGCCAATCCCTCACAGAGACCAGGTCAGCGGGCAGCGGAGCAAAGACCAACTGGAAAACGCTGAGCGAAGTTAAGAATGAACACCTGGGACATGGAGAGAAGGTGCAGTGCATACTTATAGCCTTACACAACAACATACTGTAGCATGCCACCCATCTAAAGACGTATTAAACCTGCTGACCTTCAAAAGAGAAAGAAAAAGTTACTTCAAGGGATAAGTTCACCCACATTACACCAGAGACAGAAAAATATAAAACCCTGGCATATCAAATGAATACTTACAATTAAATACTATATTACACATTTGTTTGGTCATTTGGATAAATTGAACCTTGAAAGAAACTATAAAACCGATTTGGGTTACATTTTTTATTTTCCATCCCTTTTGTTATTATGCTATATTCTGATTGATAACTACTATCAAAATTAAATGGGGCTGTCGCTAATTAGTTATATTTGATATGGATCTGAAGATTGTTGATCTACTGATATTGTAAATGAATGTTTTTTGTCTTCATTTTACAAAATGTTTTGGCATTTACAGTATTTATGTTTCTTTGGCTTAGGTTGAAGATTTATTTAGGACCTGCATGATTCAGTGCAGTCCACATTATAAGATCAGAAAGGAAGACTCATAATGAAAACTCTAAACAACCGTGACTCCAACAGTTTACCTTGTTTTTATTTGGGTTTTAGATTAGTTTACTTTCTCAAGTTTTATTCTCAGAATATGAATATTACCTAATTATTTAGAAAAGTCACAGCAAAAAATAAATATTGGTATTTGCGCTGCAGTTTTAGTTGGATCTCTGGGTTTAGCTGGAAGCAACTAATATGTTTATTAAAAAAAATAGGGCTGGGCTGCTGGCTACTGTTTAAAGACAAATGAAAGAAACCCTTAGAACTGACGTTGGATCAGCGCAGCTACAGTAGAGCAGAGTTTGATGTAAGACGAGCTCAGTAAACACAGGGTTTTGGTGTCAGTCCTTGAAAATCAAAGAGTTACAGCTTTACTGACGGGATCAAAACCAAATGTTGAGGGATTAAAAACATCAAGAGTTTGAGTCTTGCATTTTGTTGACACATTTCACTCACTTGCTGTAACTGTGGCTTGTGCTTTCTTAAGCTACATATACAGTGTGACCTACGGCTGAGTTCAACTTGAGGCTTTTAGGAAAGATCACATGGTAAATATCGCCGTGTCAAAGGATATAACAGCTGAATAGTGATTGTTTAGCCATATGGAGATTACACTGATGGCCTCTTTTTTAAAAAGAATATTTTCTCTGAATAGTCAGGATTTTAGTCAGCCTCCTTTTAAATGTAAGCATTTAGCCAAACTCAAATCCACAGCCAGTCTTCTTTCATTGTAAATAGAGCAGTTGGAGGCCGCGACTTGACAGATTAGAGTCATGGTTCTCCTGGTTTAGCAGTGGGAGGGAGATAGTGATGCTCACATATTAGCAGTACAGGGTTGAACTGCCATATGCCGGAGGAGCATGTGAGAAATTAAACCTTGTGCCATTTTAAGAAATGTCATTGTACAGAATTTTGCGAGGCTGCCACTAAAAGTAAAGGCAATGTAATGGTACGTGCCACTCATAAACTTTCTATCTAATAAATTAGGTTTATCTCCGACTAGTCTCCCTCATCCCTCACGTTTAATTAGAAGCCACTTAGGGGTAGCTTCAAGATCAATGTCGTTTCTAATGAAAATGTCTAATTATGTGTTGGAGTTTGAGGAAGCCTATAGGGCATAACATTACCAGAAGGGAAGTAGTGCGGACGGAGAACGTGGGAGAGTGAGAGCCGGGAAGGAAATCTAGACACTTAACATTCATGTAACTTACAAACCTGTGTAGCAGGATGTAAGGAAACAAGGCCATGGAGAACAAAACCAAAAAGTTAAAACAGTGTGAAAAGTGTGGTGACTAAAAGAGAGAAGTGCCAAGGGGTATTTAGAAAAGGATAGGAACAGTTAGCTAAGTTGTGTGGGAAATGGTTGAGAGGTGAGAATGTGTTAATAATTCAAACTCTGATTTCGCTCCTATCTTTTTCTTTGGGTTTTACCTTCATTTAGTTTTACCTTCATTTAGTCTTCTCTTATTTTTCTCTCTCTGCCCTCTGTACCCTCAACCGTTTCTGTAATTGAATGGCTTCAAGGAGGTTGTCAATCAAACTCTGAGGCTGCAGCATCGTTAATAACAATGGATTAGCTTATACTTTGAAGGAATCTAATTTGACATTCACCTGTGGTGTGTGTGTGTGTGTGGTGGTGTGTGTGTGTGTGGGTGTGTGTGTGTGTGTGTAGTGGTGTGTAGTGTGTGTGTGTGTGGGTGTGTGTGGTGTTTGTGTGTGTGTGTGTGTGTGTGTGTGTGTGTGTGTGTGTGTGTGTGTGTGTGTGCTGTGGTGTGTGTGTGTGTGTGTGTGTGTGTGTGTGTGTGTGTGTGTGTGTGTGTTGTGTGTGTGTGTGTGTGTGTGTGTGTGTGTGTGTGTGTGTGTGTGTGTGTGTGTGTTGTGTGCTGTGTGTGTGTGTGTGTGTGTGTGTGTGTGTGTGTGTGTGTGTGTGGTTGTGTGTGTGTGTGTGTGTGTGTGTGTGTGTGTGTGTGTGTGTGTGTGTGTGTGTGTGTGTGTGCGTGCAAAAGCCACTTCTAATGAATGTAGCAGTTGGGGTTTTGGGACAAGCTTTAAAGTTGGCATGTGCAGCCACGTCAATTATGTGAAGTAGATTTTCACTTCCACATACACATTTTAATTGCATTTAAGTGCCAGAAGGTGACATAGGGATTTGGTGTGATAAGAATGACAACTATTTACAGAATGTTAGAGGTGAGTGTGTGTGAATCTTCAGGTAAGTCTGCACAGATATTTTTGTCTCTCTGATAGTTTTTTGTGTGCAGCGTTGGTCGTGCTGCTCCTCTAGGTTCTTCTCGGTGTTCTAAAGGTTAATATTTTGCCCCAAGGCTTCAATATACACGCAAGAATACAGAAGGTGACAAAAAAAGAACTGAAGAAGAACAGCAGAGAGGATGACAATTGCAGAGGGATTTATTCGGAGGGGTGTAGTCACTATGATGGAAGCACTATGGTCCAGATACTTCTAACCTGTTATCCTCGTATTTTCTTTAGCAGCATCCCGAGCCTTCAACAAGCCCCCGAACAAGGCGTTGTGTTCTTCCTGCCGCGTGCCGCGTCCACCCTCCTGCCACCTTCCCCCCCCCCACCGCCTCGCCACCTCTTCAGCCTTCTAGCGCTTCAATCTGCCCATGTCTGCAAAATTTGATGAGGCAGGCATGCGGGCGGAAGCATGGGAGAGCAGTGATGATGGGGAGAGGGCGGTTGCTTAAGGGAGACATTCTCCTAATTAAAAAAACCTTCTTAGTAAGTGTTTCTGAGGGGTCCTTGCTGTGTGGCATGGGTTCTGGTAGATGGACAGATTATGAGGATGTGAGTCAATGATGGCTAGCGGGAACAAAGTGTCAGATAGCTCAGAGTCTGACAGAAGTATCTGCAGAGGTCGAGGGGACAACATCAAACATCTCACAGGGGATGCAGAGAACACTGGACTTTTCATATCAAATGCTCCCTGTGAACATTGTACAGAATTTGTGGGTTGTTTAAAGAAAGCAGCATTGCTCAGTCAGTGTGTAAAGTTGGCCAGCGTCCTAGAGAGAGTCTTTGATGGACTCATTTAGGCCAACATTAGTAATGAGTCTGGCCCAGTTCTTGCTTGTAGTTGTTGTTGAGAATGCATTTTAAATCCTGGCTGTAATTCCAACATCTTGTTCAAGGCCCGCTCTCCTGGTAGAAGATACCATTACTGTTTGAATGCAGGCGTGTACACGAGTGTGCTTCTTCCCAATGAGACACGGTTCAGCTGCTGTACGCATTTTTTTATATTTATATTTATGGAAATCAAATGCTGTGCCTCTCTACAGGATGAGAGAACAGCATCTTCTCCCCCAGAATTAGCATTTTGCTGTTGATTTACACAGTGTGAGTTCTGCCACTTTAGGTGCTAATATCTGTTTAAATTACTGCGACTCGCTGGATTGAAATTTGATTATGTTTGACTGTGTGCACTTCAATTGAAATTCTTAACTGAAAGAAGTTTAGGGTGTTTGCATATAGCCCTGTGTGTGTGTGTGTGTGTGTGTGTGTGTGTGGTGTGTGTGTGTGTGTGTGTTGTGTGTGTGGTGTGTGTGTGTGTGTGTGTGTGTGTGGTGTTGTGTGTGTGTGTGTGTGTGTGTGTGTGTGTGTGTGTGTGTGTGTGTGTGTGTGTGTGTGTGTGTGTGGTGTGTGTGTGTGTGTACGTGTACGTGTGTGTATACTTTAGCTCAATTTATGTATCAGACAGGGAGAGAGAGAATCGTCTCATCTTGCATCCATTATGCAAAAACCTCTCAAACCCTCTCTGCTTTCTTTTCAAACCGTTCCAAGATTGTTTGGAAGTCAAATAGAGATGTGTAAACAGCGCGCTTCAACCAGCTGGACTGACTCGCTGGCAACAGTTTTACTGATGAAGCCTAGTTTGATCGAAGTTTACTCATTTTATTTAACGTTTCTCTTTACACCCTAAGCAGCTTATTTATTCACATTAAAATTAATTAAAACCCTTGAAGGATTTCCTGTCTGCTCTAGAATTAGCTTTTTTACTCCTTTTGTTTATTTCATAGACCTTGATGGGCTTTGTTTTAACATGTACGTTGCAAAGTTATGATTTAAGAATACCAAATGTAATGGCAGCCATGATAAGATCAATATTTGAACGCAGACATGGTGCACATGTGGGCAATTCATTTCCTGCACTCTTTCTGTACTGATGGTAGAATTATCTTATTCAGAGTACCTCACCCAACACTACTTGATTGTCATTAAAGCCACATGGCCAGTTGTTACTCCGTTGCCTTACTATGATTGACAACACAACGTAGGGCTGCTCGATTATGGCAAAAATCATAATCTTGATTATTTGGGTCAATAATTGATATCACGATTATTATTATTATTATTAATGATTATCCATTTACTTTGAAAACATCCATTTATTGAAAAAGAAATGTGAACAGTATGTTTTTAACAGTTGATTACCCTGAACTTTAAGTATAATTCAACTGAAAAACCAATCAACCACATTTTTTTAAATAAAAAATAATAATCGTTTTATTTTGATTATGTTGTTTTCATAATCGTTGCAAGCCAAAATGGTAATTGCGATTAAAATACGATTAATTGAGCAGCCCTAACACAACCTTTATTACAGATGTTTCTTCGCCCTTTAGAAATGTGTTTTTGTTTATTATAAACAGGACGGCTTCCTGTTGAGCCAGAACAGAAAGGTGTTAGAAGTGTTGCATGCTCTAAAATAGCTCATCGTACCCGACCACTGTTTTATGTAAATGGTTGTATTTATATAACGCTAAATCCAGTCTTTACGACCCTTCACTTTACATACTTCAAGTCATTCACCCATTCACACCCATTCATACAGATCACTGCACCTTGCTATAAGAACTAACATTCACACAACAGGAACTCAGGGTTAAGTATCTTGCCTAAGGATACATCGACATGTTGACTGCGCTGGGATCTGGCTTGGTTGCCGAAATTAAACATTTAATGCAGTTCACCTCAAACATTGTGTAAAGGTGTCATGACATTTGACCAGAGATCCACATTCATATTCTCCATGCAGGAGCAACAGGGTTTTACCATGTGTAAAATAAGATGAACAAATGCAGCACACACATTTCTATAATTAAATGAGTGTTCATCTGCTTAGATTTTTCCGTATGGCATTTGAATTGCAGGTTAGATTTGTCGTTGCACATTGTGTAGGGGGTAGCACCTGCAAATGAATAACAGCCTTTTAGACGTTCAGATTGCAGGAGTTAGATTTTGGTCGTTTTCATTCATCTCAAAGCTCTGTCCCCATAATAAGATTTCCTCTTCTCCCGCTTTTGTTCTCTCATCCCAGGCTGACTACTTCAGCTGCCTGGCGACGGTCCTGTACACTCGTAAGGAGAACTGTCTGTACCAGGCCTGTCCCACTGAAGACTGCAACAAGAAGGTGATCGACCAACAGAACGGACTGTACCGCTGCGAGAAGTGTAGCCGAGAGTTCCCCAACTTCAAATACCGACTCATACTTAATGTAAGCTCAAAGTGTACATCATTAACACTTGTTTATCACACATGCAGTGCCGTTGACTTTGAGGAACTTCTCCAATAACACACATACACACACACATGAATAATCTCTCGCCCCTTCATCCTCTCTGTCTGACACTCAGGCCAACTTAGCAGACTTCGGGGATAACCAGTGGGTGACATGCTTCCAGGAGACAGCTGAGGCCCTGTTGGGTCACAGTGCAGAAATACTGGGACAGCTCAGAGACACAGTGAGAGAGACACACACACACACACACACACACACACACACACACACACACACACACACACACACACACACACACACACACACGCACACACACGCTATGCTACAACACACTCCTCTAACTAGTTTGTTCCCATCTGACAAGAAAATTACTTTAACACATTTTTTTTCAGGAGGTCTAACTATAACAGACTGCTTCCATTGCCAATGCTTTTGTATTTACCTTGTCTTTCTTTTGTCTGCGTGCTCCTGAGGACGAGAATGCATTCGATGAAGTCTTTCAGAAAGCCAACTTTACAACCCACATCTTCAGAAACCGAGTCAAGCTGGAGACGTACAACGTAAGTAGCTATAAACAAGAGCACAAAAGAATATGATACAATGTGAGGCAATTTAGTTTCCCAGGAATAAGAAAGCAGAATGTAATGACATACAACGGTTCCACTCATTGTCCTGCAAGCTGTGAGAAAAATGTCACATCTGAACAATCTGTTACATCTGTTCTGAACAAATGCACCAGCGGTACACTAATAATGGATCTGGAAAAATAGGCTTTTAAAATAACCAGGATTGCAAACAAGTGGCATTGTTGTAAAAACAGTAAATGTTCTCATTTAGCGTCGATTTCATTTCACAATCAAACCAGGAAGTTGGAACAGCTACAGCATATAAACCTAAGCTGTGTGAGTCTGTTTGTTAAAGCAGTTTCTTTCATATGACAACAGTTAAGTTATGAAAATGTAAGTACCTTTTATTACAAATGGCAGCATTTAATATTTTTCAATCCCACAAGATTCTGTTTTGGCAGGAAACATGTTTTTTGGTGAGTGAATGTTGGTAAAAACATGAAAAGGCAGAGCTTGCAGCGTTTACAGATTTAGTATTTTGATTGGCAGAACGATTAAACTGATCTGCAGCAACCTTTTAAGATGATCTCGTTACAGGCAGTGGTGGAAAGAGTTGTAGCTGGTAGTGAATATCATAGGTGTAGGAGGAGAAGGAGCTCGCTTGATAATATATCCCCATAAATATTCCAAAGTGAGACTTCACTGATTGATGTGAAGCTTCCCCCGGTGCTAAAGTATGATACATCGAGGTGTGTTGTTTTTTAATTAATGGGTTGCATGCCATCCGTGAACTTGTTTTAACCAGATTGTCTTTGGTTATTATCTTCGGCTTACCGCGGTACCAAGCATGCAAAGCCACAAAACAAGATGCGCAATATGCAATATAATCACAACGTGCTGTCAGTCACACAACATGAATCTAGAATCATTTCAATTATTATCACACTGACAAGGGAGTTGTTATGTTGCAAGTGCACTATGGATAACATAAAACAAATACAGCTGTGGAGTCATTTCTCTTAATTAGGCACTAATTAGCATTTAGCTATTGTCTGTCTAAGCCTAATCAGCTCAATTATTCAGAAGCTAATTTGCTACCAGGGGCGCATACCAAGAGTCTGAGTGGAATGATTGAGATGTTGGATGAGCTCTGAACCGTCCTGACCTCAAGAAATCCTACGAGGAATGCTATGCAAAGTTCATGAGCAGAGCGTCAGGCCCAGCTTGAAATGTTTTGTTCTAAAAACATTCTGAGAATGTTACCATTCACTGTTCTAGGAATGTTTTCAGCGGGAAGTTTTCTTTTGGTTCCCAGAATGTTCTTCTGAGCGGTAGGATAACGTTCTCTAAAAACATTCTTAAAATGTTTGGTGATAACATTCTTAAGATGTTTTTGATAACATTGTTCGAACATTATGCCCTACTATTCTTAAAATGTTTTCAGCTTGACGTTTTATTTTGGTTCCCAGAATGTTGTTCTGAAAGGTAGGATAACGTTCTCTAAAAACATTCTTAAAATGTTTGGTGATAACCTTCTTAAGATGTTTTTGATAACGCAACAAACCGTTCACGGCAACAATCCGGCAGGGAATGAGTGCAGGCTGCAGGCTTTCATAGTGACTGACAGGTTGCAGGTGTGGTTGATATGTCTCTCTGTTGTCCACGTTCATAAAGCAGTGCTTCTCAAACTTTTTTCAGTAATGTACCCCCTTTGAAACATTGACCGACCCCGGACATTTTTGACAGAAAAAGCCTATATAAATAATTCCAATATAGTGATGTTCCATCAGTGTGTGATTTATTAACTCCTTAATGCATGCATTACAACAAACTAAGGATATTTTCATCTTTATGCATGAAAAAAAAGATTTTTCCAAGGAGTTTTTCAATTGAATTATTATATGTTTAACAAACCAATGAACAAAATGATATATTATTTAAAAACTATAAATACAATACACAAATGTAACATGTTTATATGAGGACCCCCTTAGTGGTTCTAGGAATATTTTATCTAAAATTGTGTTTTCTATTTAACTTATTGTACTAAGATTATTTTTGTAATCATGCATGGTATTTTTTTAATTAACCTTTTTATTTTGTTTACCTCACGTACCCCCTGCAGTACCCCTAGGGGTCCGCGTACCCCCATTTGAGAATCACTGTCATAAAGCATAAAACAACAGCATCAGAGCACGGTGCAGAGTCTCTAGATGAGTTTACAGTAGTCCCTCGTTCTTATTGAACATCCATGTTGTAGTCCGCTGTATAGAAAACTGTAGTTTCCATAGTTTCCCCACAGCAGCAGACGCACATTTATGACGTCCGCTGGCGCATCATAAACACGTTGAATAGTGAAAGTGCAGTCGGATTCTCTAAAGCAGTGCTTCTCAAACTTTTTTCAGTCATGTACCCCCTTTGAAACATTTTCTCATGCCAAGTACCCCCTGACCGACCCCGAAAATGTTTGATCGAAAAAGCCTATACAAATAATTCCAATATAGTGATGTTCCCTCAGTGTGTGATTTATTAACTCCTTCATGCATGCATTACAACAAACTAAGGATATTTTCATTTTATGCATGAAAAAAGAAAAACAATTTAAAGTTTTTCAACTGAAGTAATATCTGTTTAACAAACCAATGAACAAAATTATATATTATGCAAAACTATAAAATACAATACACCAATTTGACATGTTTATATGAGGTTCTAGGAATATTTTATATAAAATTGTGTTTTCTATTTAACTTATTGTACCAAGATTATTTTTGTAATCATGCATGGTATTTATTTTTTTTGTTTTTGTCCGCGTACCCCCATTTGAGAATCACTGCTCTAAAGCAGTGATTCACTGGTGTGCCGTGAGGCAAGTCCGGGTGTGCCGTGGGATTTTGTGACAACCATACGTTATTATTACAATATACAACTACACAAAAATAATTATTTTTTTATTTACTATATAAATAGGTTTGTAGGTTTATATGTACGTAATCTGCGCGACTTGTGCGTCCACATCTCCACGTGCAGTGCTGCATAAACATGGCTGAGTCAGCGATAACTTTCGAGGGGTGGAGGTATGCCCATTATTTTGAGTTCGTCCGAAGAATAGACAGGAATGTGACGGTGAGGTGCAAACTGTGTCCAGGCCAGAAGCTGTTATCCACTGCTGTAAACACCACGTGGTCAAACCTCAACAAACACCTGCAAAGAACACATGCTAAGGTGAAACTACCGCACACGCTATTTGTTGTTTGTTTATATCACGTAGTCTGTTCTTCTTCTCTGTCTTCCGGTTGTTGCCTGTTTTGAATGACGAATACACACTACCGCCGCCTGCTGGTAAGGAAAGTTATTGCCACTCACGCATGCGCAGTTCGTACGTGCTCGGCGAGTAAAGTAACGAGTTACTTTATGTAGATAGTAACGAAGTAGTGTAATATATTACTTTTTTTAAAGTAATATGTAATATATTAAAAAATGTTAGTAACGAGTACGACCCCATCTCTGGAGTTGGCGTTCTCTACTCTGATTTACATGAAGAACAACAGGAGGTCACGGCTCTCTGTTGAACAGGACTTGCGAGTGGCCCTCTCCTCAGTGCCACCAAGGATTAAAAAATTCTGCGCGCGTCGGCAGGCACATGTATCTCACTAATTTGTAAGTCTGCAAAAATATTTACAATAGCACATGTTTCAATGCTGATTGCTGAAATGTTACATTTATCATTTGTAGTTCAGGACCATGGATAATGCAGCTTCCTTGCATTGTCAGTTCTCTGTGCTGAATTTCTGCTGAGTTTCCTTTGCCTCATTTAAAATTTTGTGACCTGTCTGGTTTAAATGAGTGTGTTGCTGCTTTGATGAAGCCTAATTTGATAAAGTTTCAAATTAATTTCTGAAATACTTCGTTAATAAATATTTCATGAGTAATATAGTTGTCTTTGTCACATTTTATTTAATAATAATTATGCACATTTACAGATATTTTACATGATATGAGTGATAACACGTGTTATAAGGGCTATTTTGCACAATAGGTGTGCCTTGAGATTTTTACTTGTCCTTTGGTGTGCCTTTGGCACAAAAAGTTTGGGAACCACTGCTCTAAAGCACCGCAGTCTCTTCTCCTAAGTCCTTTTGAATTTTCCTATCCACTATCCCTTAACCCAGTGGTTCTCAAAGTGGGGGGCAAGAGACCGGAGGGGCGCGAGAGACCAGGAGGAAAAATGGTCAATACAAAAAAAAAATTCAATAAAAAATCATAATTTGAAAAATTATTGATTCGAAAATAATATGATACAGTACAGTACTATTACATCTGGGTCTCTGTGTTTCATTAAAGCTCGGCTCTGTGTGTGTGGAACGAGCCATTTTGTGTGCGTGCGCGCGCGAGAGAGAGTGCACCGGTACCGGAGATCGTTGTTGTTGCTTCTGGTGCTAGCGAGCTACGCTAACGGATATAAGGAGTTTTTTCAACAACAAAGTGGAGAGAGTCCTCTCCTGTCAGACTGAGAGGCTCAGTGAAGTAAAGGACTCTCTGAGTGTTTAGATAGTTAACTTTAGTCTAAGTTATATCAGTGGGTCTCAAACGTTTTGATGTAAACAATTATTTCCGAGGCACACGTTTATATGATCATTATAGTTATAAAAAAATAAGAGAATAAATGAAAAACAGGTATGAAATACTATATGACAGTAAAAAAAGAATAAAGTTTAAAAGGGTGATTGGTAAAATATCCATAAAGAAAAAGTAAATCTGTTTACAGGTCTGTTTCAAATGGGTGTTGAGAGAGGTATCCATAGATCTCTTAATGTTGCTCTCAAAGTGCACCAGATTGATGCTTTTAACTTCAATATTTAGAAATAAGTCTTCCCGGGGGAGCTTGCCCCCGGACCCCCCTATGTTAGGTCCACACACCACCTATAAAAATAGCACTTGACCCCTGCTTACACCTATATGCCGTGAGCTGATTATCGAGCCTTCATTGTAAC